CTAACTCTTGAATATTCGTTTGTCAAGAAATGTTCATTGAAAAAAGAATCTTATATGTCAATGAGTCAGTGGGAGTCTTAATGGTCTTGAAAAGTTTCAAGAACTAATTAAGAATAAACCTTATCGATCATCACTAGCACACGAGTTGAGGTTTACAACCTATCGTGTTGACACTATCTTGTTTCTGTACTGTTCCAATTGAGTTAATTATGCATGTGAGTTCTATGAGTTCTCATTTGAACGCATAAAAGGTAAGCACCTTGATCAATGAAAATTACATTGATAGGAAAGGGTGAGCTACTTGACTACTTGGAAGACATGGTGGGCAGCCGTGTTACGATAAGGCAAGAAATCAAGATTGAGAAAGTTCGGTTCATATGAGTTTGAATTTGTCGTAAACTTTGGTTTTGACAAATTCACATGAATAGGAACACATAAACCATTAAAATCTAAGTGTCATAAGATTCTCTCCTTCATGAAAATGACTATGAGGAAATACTTTCACTAAAAGAGATTTTAAGAAGATAGTGATTGTGATAATTGGATTCTCGAATTCGATTATGGTTACGGTATCCCTTTCCATGATTCGAAATGTGAGATTTGGCAATTAGTCTTAATTGTTTAGGCACACACATATGAGCTATCTAAAGGAAAGGTGTATAAGCTTAGATAAAGGACTATCAAAGCATTAGGTATTAGAAACATGAACTTAAGAAATTCAATAAGTATTGTTTTCTGGAAGTTAAGCTGGTTTCTGAATACATGTCAAAGCTAGTGGGAGCATAAGTGTTATGTTTATAATAATCATCATGATAGTGGGAGCATAAATGTTATGATTGTATGATTATTAAGGCAAGTATTGCAAGTTAGCAATATTAATTATAGAAAACAAGAGTCATACTTTGCAAAGTTGTAAGGGTTGAATAGTTGTTTTGCTATAATTAAGGGAAAGAATATTATGCTTCATTTCAAATCTAAAGGCTTAGGTTATGGAATGTTAATAAATTTAGTCAAAGATACATAGTGTGTTCTTAAATTTCGATTGTGATTACGGCATCCCTCTTCATAATTTGAATTATAAGAACATAACACATAAAATATTATGGCATAAGATTGATAAAGTATTAAATCTTCATGTAAGACATTATGCATCGTGTCCAATACGCTTCGGGTATAGGATCGATTGCAAATGCTATAATATTTGACCATTCTAAATATTTTCCAAATGTTTAGCGCATTTAGAAGGAAAAAGGACAAGAATCGTTTTGACTAAGATAATTAAACAACTATCAAAGGACAATCCAGGGTTCGCTGAGGATTGGTCGCTTGTGAGTAGTTGTAAGTATGATATTGGATGGACCATATCGACTTTATTATGAATAGATAAGATTCTATTAAGAATGAGTTGTCATATGGAAAATATGGAAATATTTCCATGTTGGGAGTTGGATATTGAGAATCAATGTCTAGATTAGAAACTTTTATGCAAAAGAATGTTCAAAGGAATGTACTTTGAGTGAAAGACATCACATCTATGGAATTGTCTTGTAACAATCTCTGATAGAGGACTTTGTAATTTCGTTGGCAACAGTCATTGTGACTTTTGTGCTATGACATTACGAAAGGATCATTGCATAAAATGTTAGAATCTAGCATATTCTATAAGTGGCAAGAATTTGATATTCTTTCACTTGTGATAAGGATTGGGAGTAGTGAAATGAGTATGATTGGAAAGGTGTTCATTTGATCTATTTCACAAAGTAAGGACCGTAGGTTAGCATTGTGTGCATGCTAAGAGCATGGGACAAGTGTGGTAAGTAATTCAAGTAAGAAGTTGATTACCCGAAACGACAAATAATGAGTAATCGATATGGTGATAAATATAAGGTGTTTTATTTATAATCAAAGGTTGGGGCCATATGGGATTAGTATTATTCTTATGTTTCACTTTGCATGTTTTCACTTCCTGAATAATTTAATTGGTTAAGAACAGTCAAATTATTCGAACGGGTCACAGTCGTTCATATGTTGGAAGTAGGTATGAATGAAGACTATCATGAATTGGTGTGTGGATTGTCTAAAGAGCATTAGACATAAGCAAATGTTTGATGCAACATTCATGAGTGCTTATGAATATGATTTGAGCATTGGATTAAACCCACGCTCACTTGGATCACTTCATGGATTTCATCACGAGTGATTGGTGAGACGATAACATCTTATATTCTTGAAACCGAGATGTGTGAGTTGTATCTTGCGAGTCGATTGCACATTGATAATATGTAAACGCACCAATAACTTGGTGTTATAAAACATATTGTTGTGTGTGATTTGGTAAGTGAGTGCAAGCGAGCATTGAGTCAAAGTTTATCCGTTCCTTTTATCCAAAGTAGGATAAAAGCGATATATGTGGGCCCCTCGATGATTTAGTGATGACACCTAAGCGTTTGGCCAAGCCGGGACTAAATTGATGTGTTCAATTGTAGTCTGTTGTCAGTCGTCATAAATCTGAATTCGGGAAACAACACATAGGCAGAGAGAATGATTTAGATCCATGTCTCAGTCTATACGATATCTAGAATGGAGGAATATATGATCCCTTATCTAAAGGACACGTGTATCTGATAAGATCAAAGTTGACAGTGGCTTTAGAAAGCTACGATTGCAGATCAAGATCTGAAGTCATACGCGGGATAGTTATTAGACTTATCCAAGTGGGAGACTGTTGGATTAGTGTCTAAGTCCATAACTATTTTAGTATGTACTTGACCCAATGGTGCATGGTCCTTTTGGGTTGCCTTCACCAAAACAACTTGATAGGATGAATTATGGAGAGAAAGGATTAAATATGATTTATTAATATATTATGAGAATAATACATTAAAGGAGAAATCATATTGTTTAATTAATATTAGTCAAGAATTAATAAGAATTAAGTTTGTGGCTAAAAGAGATTAATTAAACTTAAGGGACTGGAATTGTAATTATAAGATAATTGCAATTGGGCTATGGATTACCTTATAATATAAGGTTGGGCGAATTCTATGGGGAAACCCATTAGAAATCGTCCAAGGCGTATTAAAAAGGGGTTCATGGGTTGCTTAGGGCCTAAGCATCCAAATTAGGGTTTCCTTGTTAGATAACCCTAATAGCCTCACTATTTAAAGAACCCTTAAGCCCCAAAAACATGGTGAACTTGTTCTCTAGGGTTTCCACACGTTTTGGGCAGCCTCCTTCTCTTCTCCTCTTCATCATCTTGCTCTTCGTGTTTGTGAACCATTAGAGGAGTGACATTTGTGACTCTAAGCTTTCTAAAGTCAATACAAGAAGGATTTAAGATTGTTATTGCTACATAACAATCAAGGTATGATCTAAAACCTAGTTCATATGTTATATTGATTATCATATATTAGATCTAGGGTTTGAAGTCTTGGATGAATTGCATGTACAATAGAGAAACCTAGATCCAAGCATTAGGGTTTGTATGAGCACATATGATGTTTTTATGGCTAAAACCCATCAATATATATATATATATATATATATATATATATATATATATATATATATATATATATATATATGCGAAAGTTTAACAACTAACAATTTTAAACTATTGAACCAATGAACCATTATTTTTTCAAGTTTTAGATCTTATTATTTATCGAAAAAAATCTAAAAATATAAAAGTTCATAACTTTTTATCTTCATGCCATTGATATCAAATTTGATAAAAAAAATTACTTTTTATGTGTTCAAATTCACATTGTGAATCTACACTATAAATCATTAGTTTTATATAAATTCACTGTATGAATCAGCATAAATTCACAGTGTAAATCTATACAGATTCATAGTGTGAATCTGCACAAATTTCACAGCATAGAATTAACAGTGTGAATCTGAACTGACCAATTTTTTTTTATCAAATTTGATATCAATGGTTGAAGGATAAAAAGTTATGAATTTCTATATTTTTAGTTTTTTTTTTATGAAAAAATTGCTCTAAAAGTTGAGAAAAAGATTGGTTTCGTGGTTCTAAGGTTATATATATATATATATATATATATATATATATATATATATATATATATATATATATATATATATATATATATATATGGTCCGGTTGCGTTGACGACTCTTTTTTGGATGAGGACTTGTAAGAACACCTTAAAAACTTGAGAAAAAAAAAATATGAATCATAAAATCGAAGATAGAACTATATTGGAGAGAAAGAAAATTGGAAAAAAAAAATAGATCATTAAAATTGAAACATTGATCATTTTTATGATACATGCTTCACTTTTTATAATTCATGATTTAATTTTAATGATCTAAAAAAATTTCTATTTTTTTTCTTTCAAATATAGTATTTTGCTTAATTTTATAATTTGTATTTTTTTATTATTTTTTTTTTAAGGTTTCCTCACCGAAAAAAAGTCCTCACATGTTCATGTTTATATATATATATATATATATATATATATATATATATATATATATATATATATATATAACTCTCAAAGTAACATATATAATAGAATTAAAAATTAGCAAAAAACACATAGATAGATGTTTGTGTGTGTGTGTGTGTATATATATATATATATATATATATATATATATATATATATATATATAGTTTTAGGTTCTATGAAAAACAAAAAACCTTAAAAAAAACCCTAAAAGTCATAAGAATACATAAAAAAATACTTAGAGATCACAAATCTTTTTTTGATTTTATATTTTGAAAATTCGCAACTTTTTTTACATTTTTGCTGAAATTTTTTTTGAAAAGAAAATCGATTTTTTGTTTTCTTTTTTCCAGCGAAAATGTAAAAAAAAATGCGATTTTTATATATAAAATGTCAAAAAAAAAAGATTTGTAATCACTAAGTATTTTTTTATGCATTTTTATAACTTTTAGGGTTTTTTTGTTTTCCATATAACCTTCGTTTTATATATATATAAAGAAAAGTTGATGTTAAAAGATATACTTATAACTAGAAATGTGAGAAGAATAAGAGTGAGCACACAAATGTTCTTCATATCTAACTCCTTCATCCAATAAATGTATAAATAAATTAACAAAACTACAATTTATATAGTTTTTAAAAACAAAAACTTTTGGAGCTTCACGAACATTGTGTGAATAATATATGCAGATTATGTGAACACCAACGTCTCTCTCTCTCTCTCTCTCTCTATATATATATATATATATATATATATATATATATATATATATATATATATATATATATATATATATATATATATATGGGTAAAGTGAATATACCTAATAACCTTATATAAGCTTAGGTACCTAATCATATCATACTACGTAATTTTGTATCATATCTCCATTGTAATCACCCAAAGCTCTTAAAATTCAACCTCATAACTTGATTGCTTCCAAAATCTTTGGACCTTCACCATTATCTTCCTTCAAATGACGTCTTTCTATCGGAGACCCCCTGGTGGGCTTCATATACTACCGTTGCAAATCAAATGGTGTAGGAGGAATATAATGGTGAATGTTTGAAAATCTTGGAAGTAAATCAAGTTAAGGGTTGAACTTTAAGAACCTTAGATGATTGCAATGGAAATATAATGCAAAACAATGTAGTATAATATGGTTAGGTACCTAAGCTTATATAAGGTTGTTAGGTATATTCACTTTACCCTATATATATATATATATATATATATATATATATATATATATATATATATATATATATATATATATATATATATATTCTATGGAAAACAAAAAACCCTAAAACTCGTAAAAATGCATAAAAAAATATTTAGAGATCACAAGTCTTTTTTTTGACGTTATATTATTTAAAACCGCACATTTTTGTATAAATTCGCTGAAATATTTATTGAAAAAAAAAACGAAAAACTAAAAAAATAAATAAATAAATAAAAAATCGATTTTTAAAATTTTTTTTTCAGCAAATTTATTAAAAAAAGCTACGATTTTTAAGAATATAAAGTCAAAAAAAAAAAAGATTTGAGATCTCTAAGTATTTGTTTATGCATTTTATGATTTTTAAGGTTTTTTTTTGTTTTCTATATAACCCTTCCCTATGTGTGTGTTTGTGTGTGTATATATATATATATATATATATATATATATATATATATATATATATATATATATATATATATATATATATAAGTTTCGTTCAAGGCCCGTGCTCAGCACGACCCCCGAAAAGTTATATGGGTACTTCTTTTCATTGTCTGGATCTTTAATAAAGACAAGTACATTGTTGTTATGAGTATGAAATTGAAACTATGTTGTTAGCAATAAACGATTAAGTATGTTGTTATTATTGGCAAGGAAATGAAATGCATTGCTATTATGGGTAAGGAATTGAAATAACATTGTTATATAGGTAAAAGCTAATGTACATTGCTTATCAAAAAGTGTAAAAAAATTAAGGTAAAATGTTATAAGTACATGTGTTTTTCAAAGAGCATCTATACAGTGTTGTAATAGTAAGAAATGAATGTATAATGCTATAATAAGCAAATAAACAAAAGTATGTTGCTATTTATTGCCCTAACAGTATCAAATGTTTACCAAATTCACTTCATATCTATAAATCTAGACATAAACTAACCATGAAACCATGATCACTAATGTTTATAGCAATAAGACCATGCAAAAGGAAAATATGAATTACCATCATAACCCCTCAAAATTTATGAAACACCAAAAATACAAATATGAAATTAAAACATTATGACTACACAAGAAATAAGTGTCCATGACAAATGACCAAATTGGGCCTTTACATTGACCTTCGGTAGGAGATGATGTCAGAAGCAAGCCATTAGCCTTGATTTGTCCCTCGAAAATAATTAATTGACATCGAATACTTGAACTTAATGCAAGAAAACCAATTTTCCTTTCTTGTTCAATCCTAGATTTTAGGATACTGAAAATGAATCACATAGTGAATTCTTTCTTATTTAGATCACACTACACATGAAATATTAGCACAAATTAGACTGCTTTTTTCATGACAGACAGTCAAATAACTTTCGTTAAGTTTAAACTTAAACAATGAAACAGAGAAAAATAAGCAACTGACAAGGAATGATGAAGTAGCCGTCATTGGTATACTCATCAATCAGATTGTGAATCTACATAACTGCCAAAGAAGAATTATTTGTCCGGGGAGCATTAAAATATATACTTTTGTGAATATTTTTTTAACTATCCAGATAAAAAAAATGTGTCCCTCGCCCCAAATTTTGATCATTCTACATCCATTCTTTCTACTTCCATACCATTTTAAACCCTAGAAGCTTGAATATAAATCTGGAAAAAAAAAAAGGAAACTTGGCAAAAGAACGATACAATGGAATTGAAAAAACCAAATTAGGGATTATTGGCATATCAAGAATTATATTGTTATCATTGATAATTATATATTCAAAATTTATTATTGAACCAATAATTTGATAAGGGGTATTTGGTAAAGATATATAAGTGTGTAAAAAACCAAAAAGAACACCTTTTTACTATTATTTTTTGATTGGTGCTGATGTGGGTTTGGTAAACGCAAAAGGAGAGGTAGAAGTGTCATTAATATCAAATTATGGAATGTCAGAAATCTATCTATTCATATTGTGTTTCTAGAAGGCACAATCTAATTGAAGAAACCTACATAGAGTTTAAAACCACACTTAATGAAACTCAATAAGAATATATTGATTGAATCTTAATCTGTACAGGTTGAAACAAATCAAGCTACTTGAAGCAACAACCACCATTTCACGTACTGTAGCACAAATTGCAAATCAGAAAAGTGCAATCCTAGAAGAAAATCAATGGAATTAAGGAACTGAGGGTGGCTTGGTTAGGAACTAGGGCAAATTTTAACCTAATTAACTCCAATTGTTTGAGGTATTAAGTCACACACTCCCGAGTTTGAATGAAACCACCACTAAATCCAGTCAATATGCTCTGCTCTACTTTTTAAGATTTTGTTAAGATACAAATATTTAAGCCGTAAATGAGTGGTAAAAGATAATATTAATTTTAGTAGCATAGAAATAAAACTGGAACAACCATTTAATTAAGCATAAGCTAAAGACAAATTAACAACCTTAGTTGAAGGCAAAATTGATGGAGAGAATCTATAGATTAATAAACACACACACACATATTTGCAAATTCAACCCATTCTTCAACAAGCACATCTCCTTCTTGATGTACGACATGTGCAATTTGTATTTTCTGTTTCTGACGTCTACCAAATGAGAGAATTTGAAGGTCCTTTGTCAAACAGAATGTTTCAAGAACATTAAAAGATGATATTTAATTGAAATAAAAAGAGATGAAGATGAAAAGTTACAACACAAATTTTCCTAGTAAAAATCAGTTTAAGAAGAACTCAACAGCACAGATGATCCATCTTGTAATTATATGACAAAATCATGGAGTCTTTCACTCTTCATAATGAAAACGAATGCACTTTTTATAACACAAGTAGAAATTCTATAACGAAACATTAAGATTGTACATTCCAAATACATTTGCTAGAGTTGTATGAAGTTCTTCATAAGACCAAAAAACATGGAGATAAAGATGAAGATTGAAGGGTTTTTTCCACATCCACAAATAAACAAATTACTTACATATCGATTGATTAAGAATATGGGTACATCCTGTCGTGTAGTGAATATTTTGAAAGAATCTTCATGTACTTGATAGTCCTCTCTGATTGAAAATATACCCAAAAAAAGGTATACATTATACAGATGAGGAAATAAGGGATATCTGCCATCTTATAAGATCATAAAGCAAAGTAACTTCAATTAGAGCAATGGGTGTGGGCAACAAGGTGCAACATCAAGTTGTACCACCTCAAATGCCACATAAGCAAATGGTGTTATAACACCAAGTGAGGAAATTGGCAACAAGATACAACAAGATGTAACACCAACATTTTGAAAATAAATATTTTTATTTTTGTATTTTTTTTTACTATTTCGTTTTTTTACCTTTTTTTGTTTTCGTTTTTTTTTTTCTTTTTGCGTTTTTTTAATAACTAATATATATATATTTTTTTATAAAACATATAATTTTAAAAACAAAAAATATATATTTAAAATCTAAAATCCGATTACAATTAAAAAAACATAATTTTAAACCTAAATTAATAACTAAAATAACATTGAAATCACTACTAAATACTACACACAAATCCTAATCAACCTAAATATTTTTTCCTAATTTGTTCCTTCATTGCTTGTAGCACTGCTAGATCAGCAGGTGCTAAACCCTCCTCGCTTGTTCGAAGAATTGACAACTGTTGTGTCATTAGTTCCCTCTTTTTTTGCTCCCGCTTCTCCCGTGCCTGACTTTTCAGGAATTCCAAATGACGACGTTTCAACTCATTTTTTTCTTTTATTAACAAATTATGTTCATCGAATTTCGCTCTCATTTCCGCCGCATCTTTTGCTCTCGTCTCCACCTCCTCCATATGTCTTGCAGTGCGCCTCGCTTTGTCGCGTCCGGGCGGTCGTCATGGTGGGGATATCTCTTGGATATCATCCGGGATCTCATCGTCATCGGCGTTTAGGTCGATGTTAGTCCGTGCGTCCGACACGTCGACCGAACTAGAATTGCGAGACCTTTTGGATTGAACCTCCGACGATGTAGGCGTTTTATTCCACTTTGGATCCGCTCGCAACAATTCCCATGATTTTTCAAAGTCGAAAACATGACCCATTTCGACCCAATATTGTTCCTTAGCAGCTTTGAACAAATCAAAGTCGTTGGTTCCACTTTGTTGTTGCGCCGCAATCCGGTTGTAAATACCGTTGAATTTGTTGCACCGCTTAGTTATCATACCCCATTTGCTGCTCAACATGTCGTTGTTGCGATATAGATTTTTCTTTAAAATATCGTGAAACTTGTCGAGCACCGCCCCCAAATAAGCTCCTTTTTTCATTCCATTTCCACGAAGTTCGTCATTTGAAGTAGCACACCAAGCCGCCGTCAAAGCGTATTCCACTAC